TATTATTCCAAACAGCGGCTCTATCTGTGCTGGTGGTGCAGAGAAGTGCGTATGACAGTGCCAGCCTGTCACGGTTAGGGCAGGATGAAATGTTAATGACCTGAGCCCACTACGAATACTTAAGCTGCTGAATGTAAATTATGTTTCAGATATGAAAAGACAAACCCAGAACATATTTAAAATAACATTCCGAAGCAGCACACACATATTGGTAGTGGATTTTTTTTAATGCAAATATGCATGTAAAAAGAGGACATCCCACACAGAAAGGTGAAACATTTTACTTCGCTGTGTAACTGTATTCATGCTGAATCAAAAATATGAATTGCAGAAGTGAATGAACTGCAGAGTTGATAGAGCATATTTTTATAAATTGAGATTCTCTTCATAACTTCATATGTATTTCCACTTGAATTACTGATCCCCTGACTAAGCAAGTGCACGGTACACCATGGCATCTCACCCGTATATTCTTTGTGTATGATACTGCCTATCTCCACCTCTTCAGTCTAATTCAGGAGCAGTAACACTGAGTGAAATACAAGCAGCAGAGTCCTGTTTTCATTAGCAGAAATTATATCCAGTTACTGCTGTGACCTTACTTATAAGAATATATGATTTATTACACCAGGCTGGACCATCATTCCTTCCAGACCAACACCCAGCTTCAAAGGATGGCAAAAATGTGTATCTCAGTACCTATGCAACCTTGCAATTCACCTAATGGAGCAAAACCAACCCTTTCCTCATCTCTGCAGTGAGCAGCTGATCTTTTCAAGAAGGGAATTTGATCCTTCCCTTTTATCTTTGTAAGTCCTAATGCAATGTCCACCCCTGACACTCTTGAGTTTCAGGCATGCACCTCCGCTTTTTGCAGGCTGCGGAGGGGCTTCGCTGACCCCCTCGGGCCATCAGCAGACCCCCTTGAAGAGCAGCTCACTGAGCAGCTATGTGGCTCAGTGCAGCTGGGACACGATGAATGTCCAGGTTATTCTGACATCAGCCTTAGCTGAAGCCAGGTTCAACTCATGACAGCCAAGAGGCAATACAAACTCTTGTTCCAGAAGCCAAAAGAAATCTGTCACTATTCTGTAGGAAGGATGAACAGGAATTAAAAGGAACAGCTCGCTTCTTCCCCTAGCAACCTTACGGCCACTCCAGAGGCTTTGCTAGCCCTGTATAATCCAGCAGATAAGAGCAGCACGCTACAGCCTTTCTAGCTGACTTATGTGTAACTTTGCATCCTCAGGCTGTGCTCAGAGGAGGGAATCTGGACATGGAAACTTTCACTGCCTTCTATAGCCCAAGTCCACCATGAGAATTATTCCTGTTCAAATCTGACCCTTTGTACCCCCAAACCAGTAGCCAGTCCCCCATACTGGTAATGCTGGCTCCCTTGATCCTGACTTGGTTTGGTTCTCACTTGACCAGATGATAAGCTGAGATAGTGAATAACTGCACAACCCCCCCCCCACCACCATTTACTTACTCTGAGGCACCTTTTCCTTCAACCAGGCAACGGTCAAAAAATCAGCGGAGAGCTTTCCTGCAGGTAAATATAATAGTTACTTTCTAATTGTGTGTTACCTACTCATATAACGAATCAGTGTAAGCTCATTGTTACAAGCTCTCTTTAGAGATCAAGCACAAGGATAGCCAGGCACTTGGAGGTTATAACGCGTTTGAAGGGGGCATGAGTAATAAATCATCCAAATTACTTTCAGCAAACAGATGAAATGACAGAAATACCTTCAGGGTTCCTAGAAGTTAGTCAGCCTATGCATAACTATAACATCCCCTCTGGCTGCAGTGTCAACATTTCCGTACCTGCAGCTGGAGAATTTAAGCACAGCTTTTGCAAGTGGAGAAAAAAAAAAGTTCTGCGTTCTCCAAGCAGAGGGATCTTGTAATTTTTTCCTTAGAAGAAAAGCTAAAAAAACCCGTGCTGTAATGAAAGAATATCTTGAGTCTAGAATAGGGATAGGTCAGTTGTAAATTACTTAGAGATGGTGGCTTAGTCCTGAAGAAATTAAGTTTGGAAAAGATCTATCATCTGGTGCTGGAACCAGAAGCCTCTGACTTGGTTACCTGCAACTGCAAGTTGAAAGGAGTGCAGCAGGTCTAGGAGCTGCAATTTTTTGGAAAAATGCTTATGTGTGAAGAAGTGACTCCTGCTCCCTCATGCTACCTGCAACTTTCCAGTTCAGCACCTTGCAGGGGTCAGGGTCTGTTTCTTTGAGAGGCAGCAACTCCCAGCTTCAGCTGAATTAGTGCTTGCCTGATTACCCTCTAATATGGGAAGGAAAAATGCTTCCTAATGCATTACTGTGGAAAGGCTGACAGGACCTGCCCTAGTCCACCTTTGGTGGCAATGAAGTGTTGCTCTTTAAGGCTTCTGGTTTGGTGCTCAGTAGAAACAGGTTCTCAATGCCCAAAGCAATGGGATTTCCCCTCCTGGAAAGCTTCACGATAGAGAGACTACATTTCACCTTTTCAAACATATCTTGTATTTGTCCCTTTATTGCACTTAAGAAATCCTCAGTTTGCTTTCTGATGATGCCATCTAAACAGACAGAGGGATACACGGTGGGATTCATCTCACCTAACTTTGTCACCTGAAAGCTGCACATCTAGTTAAAGCTCATCACCCTCTGTGTGACCTCCTTTGCTAATGGCAAGAGAGGACCCTTACTGGGGTACTAGTCAACCTGTAGATGGCATGAATTGCCTGCCTGAGCCACAGCTACCTTAGACCAGGCATGAAACGTTTATATATCTATTTGGGGGGCTGTCAGAAACCTTTATAAGATGGCTTTGAATCCTCCTTTCCTCCTCCTTATTGCTCCTTGTGAAATGGATACCCTTACTTGAGTCAGTATCTGTGACACCAACTACACCCTCTCTTTGGCAAGATCCTATTTTAAGCTTTGCATCAGAGGCCACAGCTATTTGTGTCATTGTCAAAACTCTTCAGAAGGTCCAGTGGCATTGATGGTAGGTCTCTTAGAAGCCAAAGGTTGTGCAGTAACATAAATAGGATCAGCAGCACTAAGTGCAGGTGAAAGAAAAGCCAGCTGCACATCCTTTCTGTCTCCCTTGGCAACAGCATCCTGCCAACAAAAACTGCTGCCAAGTAAAGGCTGGAAAGGAAGGGATGTGCATTTGCAAAGCTGGGGCTGGACAAGCTTTGTGTGATGGGGGAGCTGTCAGACCAAGGAACACTCATGCTTTTAAAATTATTTTTGGTTTGTTCCATGTGTTTTGGGGCAAGGCAATGCACAGAGCCTCTGTCCTTACGAAGAGTTTTCATCCAAAATTCCAAATGACGGTCTCTGCAGTTTTGAGCCATATGTTTCCATCCATGACAGCACACAGGGAAGAAATCTGTGGTGAGTTACTACTTACAGATGTGGCAAATCCTCCAGCAAAGGTTAAAATACGTGGCATGGTTCTCTTGTTACGCCAGCTGCAGCTTCGTGCTAAATCATTGTTTCAGCAGCAAGCTCTTAATCAGCCTTGAGTTCTAGAAACTGCTAAACAAGCTGGTATTTGTAAGGACCACTTTTTTTTTTAATAATGCACTAAATATCTTTATTTAGAAAAACCTTCAGACTGGAAACAGTAAGGATGAAAAGTGAACTGCAAATGGCAGGGAGAAACCGAGCATCATCAGCACAAGAGCATGAAAATACACAGCAGATCTAAGATTATTATTATTTGTACCCTGTCTTTCAGTGTCCTCCATGAAATTACCATGGCTGTGAAAACAGAGTTGGTGCAACTGTGGGTAAAACGCACTTGTGATATAGTGCATGCACCTGCCTAGCCTTCCTGATGGGGACTTCAGTCCCCGAAAATCAGCGCTGGGGTCTCCCTCCATCAGAGACCTTGTAGCTGCTAGCACTGCTGAATCTCAAACCTATCGTCACAGCATCGTTCCTTTCTGATTTGGCCACAGCATCAAAAAAGAAGTCTGGCTGCAACGTGCTGGTATCCAAGGCCTGGAAAAAAGAGGATCTTCTCACCTGGTATGATAAGAGAGAAGAAGGAACTGACATCTCTCTAGCAGAACATTAGGAATTAATTTTACGAGGAGCCCATATAACAAACTGCTCAGGCTGTTGCAGCACCCCTGGATACAACAGGGACTCTGAGCCAAGGTCTGAGGGGTGGGGATTGCCTTCTGACCCCTGGGGGACTCCGACACCGCTCTCAAGAAGCCCCCAACATGTTATTCTCTTACCATTTCCCTGTGCCTTTCGAGGGAATGGTAGTTGGTTGTGGTGGGCACGTTTTTTTGCTCTTTGGGCAGTGCGTTATTCCAGACACCCAGCTGTGCTAGAGAGAGAGAAACAGAAAAAAGGAAGAAAAGAAAGAAGGGAGGCAGGATTATGGCTTTAGGAATCACAAGGTCTGTGGACTTCTTTATAGTTACAAGGTAAAAAATGCCCAATCACCTCTGAGGAGTGAAGAAATAAAATACAGAACATGCATTTTGATGCCAGGGAAGGAGAAGGAAAGAAGAAGGCGGCTTACTCATTCCGCATATTTTCTTCTGATAGGAGTATTAATATCATTAGAGATAATTGAATGAAGTGGAAAGTCTGGTGGAGGTACAGAAGCAGGAGGTAGATCTGTAAAATCCATCCACACACAGAAAGCTAAACGCTGCGCTGAAGGGAGGGCACTCTGCCTTGAAATAGGGACTGAACAGCCTCCAAGGGCGTGCAGCTGGGGTGCTCGTTGCTGTTTTGTTCCCAGAAAACGAGAACTGCCAGCAATCCTCTGGCATCTGAATAGACCCGTGACAGACAAACTGTATCTGGACTCGATGGGAAACCAAGCTAGAATACCAAGCAGCCCTTCGATCCGCTGGCAGAGGGGGGGACCGGCTCAGTAAGTAATCTCGCCTTGCAGTGGCAAAGGTACTCCATAAAGGAGCGAGCCCTCTCGCTGCACAGCCCTGCAAGACACGCCTGCCTGGGCTGTCTCTGTCCTCATTCCTCCAAACCACTTCCAACAATAACAGCAACTCCTGCGTGCAGCTGCCTCGTTAGGGAGGAGATGTATTTCTTCCTTTCTCTGCTGGGGGATGAAGCTTCCAAATCTGTGTGATGTGAGCAGGTGAGGATGTCTGCTGACAAGTCCAAATGATATTTTCAGGTAAGTGATTACCTTGAACAGGAAGCTAGAGTCAGGCTCTTGCTTTTTATTACCCTCCTCTCAGTAATTACTGTTGTCCTAGATTGTCTCTAAGCCTTTTCACAAGGTTTAACAGCTCGGATGTCTGTATATATTTAGCTGGATAAGTGATGTGAAGCATTTCTAAAGCACCTATTCCCATAGTGTCTGTCAGTCTCTAGAGCAGCGTGCGACTGAATTGGGAGCTGCTTGCTCTGTGCCTACGTGACTCTGTCCTGTGTGTATCACCCATTGTTTAACTCCCCAGAGGACCAGAAATGCATTTGGATTTACGAGCTCACTCTCTCGAAGTCTGGGATAGAAGTGCATCTTAGAGGCAGTAATAGTGTTCTGCAGTGGTTTTGTGCTGTTAAAGGACTGGGACATCTTGCAACACAAAAACTGTAGCTGCCGTTCCTGTTGTTGCACAGGGAGTGTCAGCAAGTACAGCTTAATTTGTGTTTGTACGTGTGATCTCCAGAGTTTCTCCTGATGCTGGTTTATACTCTCTGTGCCTCATTCCCTGCATTTTACCCAATACCTTGTGTATTGGAGTTGGGGGAGATCACCCTGTCTAATACTTCTAAGGGAAAACAGTAACTTGTAAGTTAATATCTGGGAGTTCTGTCATGACAGCCGCTGATAGGCAGGGAAGAGAAATTTTCTATGCAGAGTAAGCTACTTTTTTCCCCTCAGTTCTACCACCAATCATGGAGACGAAATTTGCTTAACTCTTTGTTTGTACAAAGGCTGCTGTATTGTGAGTGAAAATTACATTGCTTTGAGAGATTATAAAGAAGTTACAATAACAAAAACAACCATAACAAGAGTAATAAAATATAGTTTTTGCGCAGTTTCCATCTATTAAACATTCCTTCTGCTCCCTGTAACGTTTTGGGTTTGCTGAGAGACACATGAGAAGTCAACAGTGTCGTACAGAAAGCTTTCATTACAGTAACCTCGCTGTTGCTTTGAACAGGTTTTGCACAACCTTCTCTCACTGTTACTAAGTCAGGACTGTTAGAAGCACAGAGAGGCTTCAGCATCCCGTACGCTGCCCGTGTGCAGCCAAGCCCTGGGTCTGTAGATAATGGGTCCTTTGTAGGACGGCTCCCTTTGCTTCCCTTGCCTACGGCAGTCTGAAATAACAAGTCCAGCAGTAGGTCTCTGCACAAAAAGCTCTTCCTGACTCGCTAGAGCAAAAATGTTTGCCAAGTACTGCCCAGGGTGGCTCTGTTTGACTTGCACAAGGTCCGAGGTAGCAGGGGCTGGAAGGGGTCAAACGCCAGGCTGAGCTCGTTGTACATATTCGCTTGCTGTAGAAAATGTGAATGTGCAGCTCAAAAGTTTCCACTGGATCTCTGGCGATTAGGACTTGGTCCAAAGCTCGCTGAAGTCACTGGGAACCTTTCCACAGGCTTTAGATCAGAAGTTACATAAGTTTGTGTTGTTCAAATGGGGTGCCCCGGGGAGGCTGAACGTGTGAGCTGACTCGACAGCCTCTCTGCCAGGTCATGCAAAAAGGCTGTTCTCGAAGTGCCCATGAAGTGTCCTGTGCAGCACCAGGCGGTATTAACTCCCAGATGAATCCTTGTAACGTTGTCCCACGCCAGGATGTGGGCTCCTAGGAGGGGCTCCCAAGATAAAACAGTCAAAGAACGTCAGCTACTGGGGCCAAATAGCTTTGTTTTTCTGGTCTGGAGGGAGGCAGTTCTGCCTCCTGTGAGCAAATAAAAGGACCATGAGGACATTCCCAAGTGGAAGGACCCTGCAGATTTCATAACAGTCCAGGAAAGCAGAATATTCCTAACTCCTGACTTTAATGAGACTTGCTGAGGACATCAACTGCATTCTTTTAAAACACTGCTGTAAAGGAACTCCTTCATTTTCTTCCCGTACACAACTGTACACACCATTTCTGGACTCCTTGTGTGGGCGTGCGGTGGGAAGAAGCACTGCAGGGACATCCTGTTGAGATTTGAACCATTGCACCATGTTGTCAGGAAGGAGTTTTTATCACTAAATGCACATCAGCACCCTCTGTGTAGACTCTGCTGTCACTTTGCTGTGCTTTGTCCTGGAGTTAATTTTGTACTTAATATTCCCTTCCTGGTGCACTGTACAAGACACAGGATGACACGGTTCACACCACAGAGTCATCAGGTCAATCAGCCTTCTGATTAGGGTTGAATGGTTTTAATGAAGTCGTAAAATTAGACTCCAAAAGCAGGAATTTGACACAGAGTATTTAGAAGCCAAGCCAGTCTGACCCCTTCTGAGCATGAGCTCCTATACCTTAGAAATGGCCCCTTATGAAAAAACTTAATGGTGTGAACTGATTTTTGAAAATATAATTTATATTATCATTTGCTATAATGTGCTTACATCAGTCTGCATTACCTTTATGCCAGCAGACAGTAAGGACTGCCAGTCCTTACCCCAAAGGGCTCACACTCTAAGTAATATCAGTCCTGAGAGTCTTAGGCAGCCAAAAGTGAAGGATTTTGGCTAAGAGCTGCAAGACTGCACTTTGAACTGAACAAGAGCATCTGCTGTATACTAACTCATCTGGGATATCAAAACTTTGGCCATGACAACTTGACAGCAACCGGAAGGTTTTCTTTCAGGGGTAGTCTGATTGAGGGTAAGTCGAGGCCATGGGGGACGGTTAGCATCGTACCCGCTGTGCCTCTTCTCTCAGTGCGGGTATGTTTGTGAAGCAGGTCAGAGGTTGGGAAGACATTTGAAGGGGTTGGTTAAGTTCATTCCTGTGACAAATCCCTCCTGCGCCTTAGTATAGAAATTCAGAACAGCTTTTTCCTAGGCTTAAGCCAAAGTTGCCAAACTGGGCAGTCTAATACCAGGGACCTTAGTAGGAGTCCCCCTTCGTAAGACATTGCATATCCTCAAGTGATAGAAAAGCCTCTGGGCAATCAGGTCACTGCAAATCCAGCCAGAGCGTGCTTAGGTGATGATGCAGAGCATCTGAAAATACCAATTCCAGCTTTACTTTCCAGTTGGCTGTTGCTCAGTTATAAAGCAAATTAATGCTACTTAAAAGAGCCAGCAAAGCCCACTATGAAGTCCTTATTATCAGCTGGTTCTCCCTAAATATTCAGCACTGGCTGGTTTTACTATGATCTACTAAGCTGAATGTTTTTTTCAGTAGTTAGGGGCACAGATTAGCTCTGGTTGTCACTGAAGGAGTTACTGTGGTCCATTTCACCCATAAAAATAAGTCCTAAGAAGCCGTAGCTTATGGGGCCACGGGGGCTCCATAAGACGCTGTTAAAGGGAGCCTAGTAGATGAGCAAAACCTGACTGCCAAATGTCATGGGGGTTATTGTTTCGTGTCAGATAAATTACTTCTGACGCAGTATTTCCTTTGAATAGTTATTCATACTTTACAAGCCACCCAAAGGTACTAGCTAAGTGCCTCTGGCTTCCTGTGCCTGACGTGTGGTGACCTGCTACCATAACAGATTGCCCCAGGGAGATTATAAATCTTTATTGCAGCAAGCTTCTGATGTACCAGTATTTCAAGAAGTGGAAATGGGTATGAGGTAGGTTTTTAGCCAAAGATCAGGGTTCTAACCCCAGGCCACAATATGCAGGAAAGCTGACAACTTCCTTATTCCTTAAGGTATATCCTGGAGAAAAACATTAACCCAAGAGAGATGTTCTTCTGTGCGTGAGATGTGAGAGAAAGTACTTACACAAAGAGCATCCAAAAATTCTAGCAGGCATTACAATCATCATAAACTAGTATCTCATAAGATCTGGCAGTGCACTTTATCGTGTGTGCTCAGAACAGCAGGCCTAAAGTTTCCTGAACCGTTATCTCCACACACCAAATCCAAAATAAATCACCATCCTTTCCTCTTTGAATTTGTTCTGTGGCAGCAACTTGTCTTGGCATGAAATATTAGCCATATGGACACTAGAATATCTGCTTTGACCTTGACCTCAGGATAAGTACTGCCAAAAATGTGAAGATAACTTCTGCCTTTCATTTCCAAGAGTGATGCTCCACAAGTGTAGCACAACCTGCTATCCTGGTTGCATCTCAGCATACCGAATACGGGCTTTTCTTGGACTAGGTGTTCTGCTGAAAGCATATGGTCTGCGGCAGACTAGGAACTGGGGAGCAGTATCCCCGATGATAGTTTATTTGTTGGAGATATTTATTTCAGAAATCAAAAAAATACGAGCTAATTTTAGCATCAGGCAGCAGAAAGTGCATTGCTTGTAGTTGGCTCTCACGGTGTTAACCAGTCGGTGTTTTCAGCTGCTGGGTACTCCGAGAAGTAACAGGAGGCTGCTGGGGGCAAGATGAGGTGAACTGTGTCTGTTGCAGAGATCTGCACAGCTCCGGTTCAGAAATGATGGTTGGTGATCTAAGGGGAGCATTTAGCTGAGAAAGAGGAATGGGTACTGCTCCTTTGGTGACCTTTTGCTACGTGTAATTGCACTGCTTGCGAAGGAGTGTGAACGACGCACAGGATTCGAAATGAACTTATTTCCTGGCATTGGCATCTGCCCAACGGGCAACAGAGCTTTAGGGCCCAGTGGACACCTATTCATAGATCTTCTGTCGTTTTCCCAAGTCTTCCTTTCCTTCTGGTGCCCATAACAGATATTCCCAAGTAGGGTAGAACTGGATGGCATAACGATGCTCACAGAGAAAGCTGGCAAGCCTGGGAAGGGCGAAGGGGGCAGGAAGATACCCCACAGTCTTGGCTGGAAGGGGATCATTACCCAGTTCCTGCAGCTTTGACGAACTCGTCTCCCTGATTCGTTCAGACCGTGACAACGTTTTTCACCTTGACACGGCTGGTTGAAATGCACACCAGCACGGTGCTAATGGTGCCATCTGATGATGCTCGGTGGACTGTGCAAAATGGATTTATTCCATGTGCTTCCTAGTGGGCAGAGATCCACGTTACACTGGACAGCATCAACATAGGGAAATGGTGACGTGTGATTGATGTGGTCCCTGCAGGTCATGCTAACTCACGGTGTATTAGCCCTGCGTCCCGAGAAGGCTTATGCTGCTGCAGCTGCCCACGTCCATTATCTGGACTAGGAATAAAGGGAAGAATTGATGTTCCCAGCAGTGTGAATCTGGCAGCTCATGAAATGATGTGCGCTACAGAGGGTGGCGGGAGGCAAATTTCACACAATCCGGTCCTGCTGCACGTGTGAGCTGGCACAGGTTACCACCGAACGTTTGTATATGGGTGCCGAGGGCGGTTGTGTTCGATTGGGTCAGACCCCTAATAATCAAGCGGCTTTTTTAAATGGCTGTGACAGCTCTGTTTTCTTGTTCTTTTTTAACATTTAGAGATTTTCCACATCTCATACTCTAAAATAAGTGACTAGATTTCTCCAAAATTGCTGAGTAAAGGACAGCATTTATAACCCAGGGACCCCTCTCATCAGACATCCCTTCTTGGCCTAATTTTTGGCAAGGGCTAAGCAGCTGTTTTCTCAAAAAACAGATTGCTTAATGGCATCCAAGACTGGAAGCAGCCAAATTTAAGATTTTGCAGCCAAAAGAATGAGCAGAATGAAGTTCCCCATAACAATGCGGACATCCATCTGGAGGCCTCCTGGCCAAAACAAAAATAAAAATGTCTTTTGTTTCTACCCCTAAAGCTTCTACAGGGAAATCACCTGCCTATGGCACTTTAAAGCACTATCCTGAGTCCATACTTCAAGCTCCTCTCTCCCATTGCCGCAGATGTTCACCACAACCTTCCTATTCCCACCTCACCACTCCCACGGGGCCACTGCAGCCCCTGCAAGTTTTCCTTTCTCTTCCTACTTTCCCAGAGAGGCTGACCAAGTTGGATGCTAACTCTTCTGTCCCTGTGCAGAACATGGAAGGGATTCCTTTGCGCAAGCTGTGCCGTTTCCTGTCCACTAGTCCCTCCCTGGTATCTCACCCTTTCTCTCTGTTTTTCCTTCCAGGTGTTCTACTGATTTTGGCACTGACAGAAGAGCTGGTGTTTTCTGTTCAGGTACTGTCTCCCACTGCCTCCTCCTCTCAGGGCTTCCCGATGGACACTACCACTGTCACAGCCATGGGAACAACACCTCGCCACAAAGACCGCCACGTGGCCGAGCCCCTTCCCACGTCCACTCACGCCATCCCCCATCCCGTCAGCGTGGCGGAGAAAGCCCCTTCCACCGGGCAAAAGGAAGCGAGCGGCCCCCGTGGCGGCGAAAAGGAAACGTATCATTTGTACAACCAGAGTGCTTTGTACTCGGGACAGACTCGCCCCAAGGGGAAAATATTCCAGGTTTTCAAAGGCAACTTCACGGAGTCCTCAGAGCCTTACCTAAAGACGACCCTGCACTCTCCCTTCCCTACCCTGAGGAGCCCTTTCACAGACCACCCGTTTCAGTCCCAGACACCAGCCTCCAGCGACCCCAATGGCACAGGGCTGGCAAGAACTACGCACTCAGACCCTTCTTCCCACCGCAACGCCTCGGGAAGCCTTAGGGAAGCACAGCGAGGGGATGGGGCCGAGCTAGTGGTACAGGAGGCAGATTTTGCCACCACAACTGCTGGACCATCAACTGATCCTGAAGCAGTGTCGGTGCCTTTTAAACCCACCCGCTACGGCGTATGGGATATGCTGAGCAAAAACAGCTCCTGGGTAACCTTGAATCTCAGTACAAATGTCCCTCTGTTTGCTGGCCCTGGATCTGCAACGGCAGCAGCGGGTCACTCTGTTCAGACCAGTTTTGACGTCGGTGTCTCCTCCCCGGCAGCGGGAGACCCCAAGGAACCAGCGCCAACGCAGCGCGGCGCAGTGACTAACGCGACCTTGCTGGGCAGCGCTCTCTCCGCAGCGCCCGCCACGAGGTTGTCCAGCTCCGTTTCCACAGCTGGCTCCACTGCCACTGGGAACTTCCTAAACAGACTGGTTCCTGCTGGGACCTGGAAACCTGGGGTGCAAGGAAATATCTCCCATGTCACTGAGGGGGACAAACCCCAGCACAGAGCAACCATCTGTCTCAGCAAGATGGACATTGCCTGGATCATTCTGGCCATCAGCGTACCTATATCCTCATGTTGTAAGTTAACTGCAGCTTTATTTTTCTTTCCTTTGCTCTTCCTTAAAATTCAGATGATTCAAGGACCAGGTGGAGAACTTGAGATGGATGAGAAGCAATCACTAGGCAGTTAACACATTCACCAGCCAAAGTGCTTAGCTCCAAAATGCAGGGCTATCATGTTTGCACTCAAAGCATACTCGCTCTGTTGCTATTAGAAATAGCGTTGTCTTTTTGGGCCCAGCATTTGAGGGTGTAACACAAGGCAGAGAAAGTCTAGAAGGCGAAGCAACTTTAATTCAAGGTGTTGAAAGCTGGTGGCCAAGACCTGTACAAGTTTTTACTGTAGGAACCACTATGTTCTGCTCTGGAATTGGGTTTAAAAAGCCCACTGCTAACCCAAAAGATTAATGACAGTTGTAATGACTGTTACTTCAGGAAACGCCAGTTTTCCAGCACAGTAAAATATTCCGTTGTAGGCAGTTTGTGACCTGTCAGATTTTAAACCAAATTGCTGGTTTCCTCCATTTCAATTCCAACTTTACAGCTGCCAAGGGAGCAGGAAGAGATTGAAATCCTGACACCAGGAGTCAGCCACCTGCGGGACCAGGGCAGGTCAAGTTCCCAGAGCTGGCACAGGGTCTCATCATTTGACTCAGTTACAAAAAAACACATGAGAAATTAGGAGGAAGCTTGTGAGTGGATGCCGGGGTGTCCCTTGCTGAGCTGGGTGATATTGGCAAGGTGGGACAGCATCTTCTCTGGGGTTTCACTGTGCGGGGTGTGATTATGCTGATCTGCCTGGAGCGAAGCAAAACCCAAACATTTCCTAGCCTTTGCTGCATGAGGAAACAAAAGGGTAGCCGCCAGCAATATTGAGTGTTAATTCTGTTATTTACATCTACGAGCCATACTGAGGACAAGGCTGGGGGAGGTGGCCGAGCCAGTCTCACACACAGCTTACTCCTGCCAAGAAGGACAGTGCTGCTCTCCTCTGCCCCCTCTGAGGCACAGCCCCTCTCCTCTGCCTGGGCCTGACCCGCCACCTCCCTGAGCCACTTTCACATCGCTGAAGCGGTCGAAAAATACTCACTTTGCCCTTTGCTCCTTTCTGCCCACCCGGTGAGCTGAATCGGCTCCCCGCAGGGTCAGGTCAGCCAAGGCTTGGGGCGGATGGGGCTGCAGGGGTACACAACCGGAGAGGGAGCCGCACTGGTCGTTTCAGCAGATGCAAATTAGTGGGTTGGCTCAGCATATCTGTTAAATTTGTACCTCTGGGACCACTGCTTCTGCTAATGCCAGTGTGGTTAAAACCGTGAGTGAGAACAAAGCTTAAGCCTAAAAGAGGGACAGTCAAAGAGAAACCAAAGCAGAAGTGTGCATACGTACGTCTGCAAAAGATGGAGAGAGGCGTAGCAAGCACGTGGTGAGAAGCAGCGATATTTGATGATTTGATGAACAGTGCCTTGTCTATCAGTCAGTAGAAACAGAGGATCAAATAAATTCTTCCAATCATTATGGGCCAATATTCACAAAGAAAACTGATCTGGATAGAAAGTGTCTAAATACAAAACAAAATACAACACCGTACAGCACAAGCATAGGAAGCATAACCAGAGTGTAAACTGGTGTATGCCTTCGCCTGCAGTGTCTCATATATGAGCTAATAACTAATGGCAGTTGTTAATCATAGAATCATAGAATCACAGACTGGTTTGGGGTGGGAGGGACCTTAAAGACCATCTAGTTCCACCCCCCCTGCCATGGGCAGGAACCCCTTCCACTAGACCAGGTTGCTCAAAGCCTCATCCAGCCTGGCCTTGAACACTTCCAGGGATGGGGCATCCACAGCTTCTCTGGGCAACCTGTTCCAGTGCCTCACCACCCTCTCTGGGAAGAACTTCTTCCTGATATCCACTCTAAACCTCCCCACTTTCAATTGAAACCCGTTACCCCTTGTCCTGTCACTACAGACCCTTGTAAAAAGTCCCCCCCAGCTTCCTTGTAGCCCCTTCAGGCACTGGAAGGTGCTATAAGGTCTCCCCGGAGCCTTCTCTTCTCCAGGCTGAACAAGCCCAACTCTCTCAGCCTTTAATAATATGGAGCATGTGTTGGCAGGAATTTTAACCCACTATTCATTAAACAGTGGTGGTAAAGCTTTCGTTCTTATCGCATGTGCCAAAGAGTATGTGTTCGTGTGACTGTGCCTGTTCTGTTTTCTTGTATTTGTTAAGCTATAATTTTTTTTTTAAAAGGCAAGTTCTGTTTTGTAAGTTATCTATACCAGCTCGAATTCAACTGAGTGTTTAAATGATTCAATTATTTAAGTCCTGCTTTCAGGACCAGATTTCTGAGGATGAGCTTCAGTGGGACTCTCCTTTTCAAAATCTGGGGACGCTCAGACATCTTTCCGAGCTGAAATGAATGGCAGGCAGTCAGGGCTGTGGGGCGAACAGTGCGGGTGTGCGAAGGGGACTGTCGCCACCTCCCGGGCACAGGCGCCTGCAGCTGGGACAGCAGGCCCGGCGCTGGCACTGCTGGTCAGGAGGGGGCTGGTGACAGGAGAGGGATGAAGAACACGACTCCATTTGGAGTCGTTTCATCTCCAAGGGTTGACAGAGCTTTCCGTGAGAGGCTCGCACAGGTGATGTGGGCACACACTGGGAACACT